GCAATTGGGCACTTGACAGAAAATTAACCAACTGAATATAATTAAAAGAGAGAGTACATGTATTTTGCCATTAAATCAAAAATTTACCGCTTTTTTTTTGTCAAATAGAACCTACACGCTTCAACAATCCCATCTTCATGGAGCAAACACAACCGAATGATAACATTTTTTCGACACAAAGTAAACAAGGTCCAAGCAAGCACGCGACTTGGAAACGTGTGCCGAAACACAGAACTTTTCCTTGAAGTAAATTAAAAATAACAAAATGTGAGTGGCGTACCGTAGAAACTTAAGTAAACAATTCTTTTGTCGCGGAAAGAGTATTTTACCATTTGCAACAGTTTGTGTCAGATATAACCGGAGATATCATTTCCTCCACAAGGTCTTCAGAACGCTTCAAACAATAAACATTCTTGCAAGCGACTTGCCGACGCATGCCGAAATACTGAACTTTTCCTCAAAGAAAAAAATAACTAAACGTGAGCGACACACCAGTGAAACTTTGATAAACAATTATTTAGCTAAAGAAAGAGCATTTTACCGTTCGAATGAACGATTTGTGTCAAATATAACCGGAGATATAATTTTTTGGCAAGGTCTTCGGAACGCTTCAAACAATAACCATCTCACAAGCAACTTCCCGACGCATGCCTAAACACAGAACTTTTCCTTCAAGAAAAAAATAACTAAACATGAGCAGCATGCCTTAGAAACTTTGATAAACAATTATTTAGCTAAAGAAAGAGCATTTTACCGTTTGAATGAACGATTTGTGTCAAATAAAACCGGAGATTTCGTTTTTTCAATGAAGATCTTCAGAACGGTTCAGACAATAAACACTTTCCAAACGACTTGCCGACGCGTGCTGAAACACAGAACTTTTCCTTGAAGAAAAAGTAACTAAACGTGAGCAGGACACCATAGAAACTTTAATAAACAATTTTTTCGTCAAGGAAAGATTACTTTACCATTTGAATGAATGATCTGTGTCAAATATGACTGGAGATATCATTTTTTCGACGAGGATCTTCAGAATGCTTAATTCACACAAACATTTCGCAAACAACTTGCCGACACGTGCCAAAACACAGATCTTTACTTGTAAAAACATTAAGTTCACGTGTTAAAATAGGGAGTTCAAGCGACTGTTTCAATTTTCTTCCCATTTTTGGTAGCTTAAGATCAAACAAGTGTTAATAAACAGTAGTTTGTCGGTAAATTTGCGAAGTGATCGAAAACTCAAAATATGATAGCCTTCATTGATCGGCAGGACGTTTCAACAACATGCAAATTTCGCTTTGAAGCCTTTTTCATTCCCAGAAATGTAATGTTCTTTGTTTGACAAACACTGCTTTACATAAAGAAACTTGTGGGAATGCATAACAAAGAGACATATACGCGCATATGTGCGCGTATATATGCGTATATGTGCGCGTATTAACATACGCGTATACGCAAAATATGCTCGTATAATACGCGTATGCGTAGTTCGCATATATCTGAGCTGCACTGTAGGTCGGAACAGTTTTGGGAGATGTTTGAGACTCTTTGGAATGACAAAATATACTGGTCAATATAATATAACTAACATCAGGGCTGACATTATCCGCATTGCTAATGGAACTACAATCGTAAACTTCATATTGTAGTTGATATCTGAATGTCTTCACAATTCTCTTTATTATTTAATGCAATTTTCCATCCTTTATACATTGGTTGAAATCTTGTGATCTATCTACCTTAGTCTTCTACTTCAGCAAATAGTTTATGTACTATTCTGAATAATAACTCAAAAAAGACAGGCTTTAACAAATGTAATCATTTCAGGTTTTAGGTTTATGGCATTCCAGCATTCTGGATTTTCCACATTCCAGCTTTTAGGGGACAACCCTGTTTACGTAACTCAATGCATCTTCCTAAACTAACTTGAGAGTTAGTTTAGGAGGTTCCAAATGTCTGTGGAAGTTCTCAATCCCATACTAATTACATCGGTTCAGGCCAGTCATGCCAGGAAGTCACGCCATAACATAATAGCAGTCAAAAATTCACGCACCATGATTCCTTCACCAGTCTCATTGACAGCTGGGCAACAAGCAAATCGACCAGCTGTGAGGATAATTTTGCCCGCCTGGTTTGACCATCTGGAGGAACGTTTTTCTTATAACGAAGTTCATTTCAAAACGTTCCTCCTGCGTTTGAAAACCAGTTGCCCTCATACTGAAAACGTTAAATTGTGAAATCCCTGTGAGGAATGCAGCAATCATCTTCTCTTTGAGACCCTCTAGTTATTTATTTATACTTAACTACATATCAGAGGATACCTACCTTCTTTATTGCTTTTGATCGAGATATCCCAGGCAATCCCGTATCATGTTTGAGCTTTCTTCCGAGTATATCATGTTTTCTCTTGTTGGTATGAATTTCAAAAGGATTGTTTTTCACTTCTTTGGGTCTAGAATGGGCCGACTTTCTAGCCAACTTTTGAGCAGCTTTCTTGGACTTTACCATGCTGCGTTCAATTAATAGTTTGACAGCGGACGAAACAATAATTTACAACTAAAAACCTTTAAAAACTAACGTGCTCAGTCCTGCACGTGTTCCATACGGTTAGTTCGCCATTTTGCTACATTTTGTGAAGTGTTATACAAAGCCAATTTCATATGTAAAGATATCGCTGACCAGTATTTATTGGGTACTCGAGGTCGTGTTCGATGTCGTGTGATGTCGTGTTCGAGAACACAGAGTTCTGCAAGATGCTATTGTTATATCAGAAAATCACAAGAAAGCAATGGTTTGCCATTAGAAAAACTTCCGGCAAATCTACTATTCTTTGTGTTTGCGGGCAGTTTTAGCGCTAAAAAACTATTAATTAATGTTTGGAAAAATTTATCCACCAATGAACAACTTTGTTTACGTTACGTCACGCATGGTTTCTCAGCGATGCTGCGAGGAAAACGCGCGACCTCGACCGAGAACTTATAATGAACGATTATCAGGAAACCTAGGAAATTACTGGCATCTTTTGTGTAAACTGAAAGCTTTTTTGCTGCTTCGTTTTGCCTGAAGCTGCCCGCCTTCGGCATTCGGGCTGAAGCGGGTAGATTCGCAGACAGGTTCCCCACCATAGGCTGCTCGCGGAGTTCACTCATGGGCGCCTTACAGTCAAATCGAAAACCCTCTTATGACGCGAATGGGGAAGGTAATCTGTGTTTTGTCTTATTCAGCAGTGAGTTCTTTCTTATTGAGATTTAGTGACGAGTCCTGGGGCTCTTTCTTCTCTTTTGCAGTCGACTTCGACCACTTCCAAATTCTGCGAGCCATTGGAAAAGGAGCTTTTGGCAAGGTGGGCTATTTCTTGTCCGGCCAGTTTTGAAGCCTGAACGTACATTTTGATTGATTTCCGTGGTTCTCCTTTTCAGGTCTGCATCGTTCAAAAGAAAGACACCAAGGCTATGTATGCAATGAAATACATGAACAAGAATGCCTGCATAAGGAAGGATGCCGTGAGAAACGTGCTTCGGGAATTGGAAATTCTGAAATTCCTGGAGCACCCATTTCTTGTCAATTTGTGGTTTGCTTTTCAAGACGAGGAAGATATGTTTATGGTGGTAGACCTTCTCCTCGGTGGTGACATTCGTTACCATTTGCAGCAAGTAACGAAATTCGACGAACCAAGGGTGAAATTATATTTATGTGAGCTGGGGTCGGCACTTGGTTATTTGCGGAGCAAGAAAGTTATACACAGGTGATTTAAGAACGATTGTAGAATTCATACGCTGTTCGTGATGTTTGCTTTTTAATTTTAACGTTTTCTAGTTGTTCTAAATAACGAAAGTTATTCTCGATATTTTCAGGGATTTAAAACCGGACAATTTGTTGCTCGACGAAAAAGGTTTGTCCCGAATAAGAACGTTTAGTACTTTTTTTTATTGAATTGTTGATGGGGTTACATATTACTTATGCTAAATTAAACTCTTCTATGGGTATAAGCACATTACGATCAACCCACGCGTAAAGTCTTATTAAATGTTCAACTCCAAACAAGATGGGTTGTACTTTCGCTTTTGTCGCCAATATTTAGCCCGTTGAGTGATAGCTTGATATGTGGGGCAGCTTCTTCACTTGAACATTTACCTAAGCCGTGTTGCTGGGGACGACGTCTTCTCATTAAATCTCCTGTGTTTGTTTTGCCGCAGGGCATGTCCATTTGACGGATTTTAATATAGCCACAATTTTGGAAGATGGAAAATTGGCAACTTCCATGTCAGGAACTAAACCTTACATGGGTAAGTAAGTTTACATTTTTTGCTAAGTTTTCCCTAATTTTGTCAACTTAGACTTATTAGTATTAGGAGACAATTTAATGTTCACAAGAGTTTATGTCATGATAGCTTATGTTAATTAAAATTGTTTTGCATGAATGCTTCTCAAGGTAAATAAAACGCAAAACACTTGAGAGACAAATCTTTGATCAGCACTATAATATTTTTATCTTGATCACAAATTTGTGGGTTTCAACATCCTTCTTGCAGTTAAGAGTACTCAGAAATTATAATATAATTTCCTGCTATTATTGTGATCGTTATTATAATATAATTTCTTGTTATTGTGATCAAAAGTATTCAGAGAAATGCCATAGGGTCGACCTCTAGTCTTCCTTTTCAAGATGTGCTTTTTCTTGTATTTTATTTTCATCGTCTTGAATAAAACACGTTGTCATTGTTGTCATTGTCATTACTATATTTATATTAGCATAAGCAAGATTATTGAAGCTTTTTGAAATCTTTGTCCAGTGTCATGGTGTTATTGAGCCACCGTCTTGAATAAGTGCAGTCGTATTGAATTGTCTTGTTGTGATGATCGCTAGCTGTCCATCAATATTCATTTTTCACTTGTGCTTCAATAAACTTGCCATTTAAAACTGATTCATTATTAATATCGATATTGCTTTTATTGTATATAGATAGATTTGCATACAGTGTTGATGTAACTAATTATATTTTACACATTTTAAAACTGTGGTTATAAAACAAGTGCAACCATCAGATGGCGTGATATTTTTCAAGAGGCTTAGTGAAAGTGGTTCAGATAAGGGGTTAAAATAATGTAAATTCCTAATCCTTTTATTTTTGAAAGAAAAAAAATTACACAGCACTAGAAGTAAGAAAAAAAAAAATAAGATGGAAGACACTACAGTATGACATAAAAGATATTCAAGGCTGTAAAAGTTCTTTGAATTGTCAAATAGTTTATGTTCAATATTACGTCCATTGATTCTGCACATCCTTATGCCGTCATGCACATCATACTTCAAGCATGCATGCCAAAGAAGAAATGTAAGTAAGTAAAGGGTTTGGTACCGGTTGTGCTAACATCACCTGCAGTTTACTCTCTGAAATGGTCAGTGACCCCTCTCTTTTCTTTTCGTAGATCAATTCCTTTTCTGCTTTTCTCCATTTTAACAAAAAGAAGAAACATAAAAAATCTGTGCACGAGCAGTTACAAATCTGTTCCCTTTTCTGCTCATGTGCTCTCTTGTTTTCAATGCCTATTCTACCTCCAGGAATGACACCAGCTGCAAAAGTGCACTTAATAGACGTAGTTGAGTTGAATTTAATATGTGTACCAGATCTAAATTTCACTAATGTAGCTTCTTTTATTGCTGATAATTGTAAGCTAAGCTTGTTTAAAGTAACAAAAGCTTCCAAATACGCATGGTATCAATGCACATTATCTTGAAGACAAGCACGATGAACCCCCATTTTGATCTTTATTTTACTACGTGGTAAGTTTTAAAAAATCTGTTTGTGGGAATATTTTTAGCGTGAACATCCTTAAAAGCTTTAGTATGACCACAGTTGTATGGCCTAAAGGCAGTTCCATTCGTAGGGTCCCACTGTACATAGCATTAGTGGACAAATGAACTAAACAATACCTAGACCAGAACAATGTTGTTTTCTTCTAACTGACAGTTCGTTGGCACTTTCTCAGACAAAGATCATACATGTTCATATATAAATAAAGGTATATTGTAACTGCAGGTAATCCAAGCTTTAATGTGTAGTACCATTAATTGCCACCATCATTTGATGCATTTTTTCTTCCTTTTTATTGGCTGAGAGCCCACCACATGACCTGGGATCTCAGTTATCGCAAAATACTGTTATTTGTCAATGTCACGCAGATCAATTATTATTTGCCTTGGCCTTTGGCTTCAGCAAATAACGCTGATCTGCTCGCCACTGACAAATGACAATATTTTGCTCAACCTTGTCCAATAATATTCGTACCACTCGTAGCAATAGATTAGGATAGAAAGAGTGAAACAAATTCATAAATTTGATCTTTCTCTGCTTTAAGCTCCTGAGGTTTTTGCCACGGCTTGTGAGGAGGCTCAAGGATATTCCTTTGGTGTTGACTGGTGGAGTTTAGGAGTCTGTATTTATGAAATACTCAGAGCAAAGGTAAGAGACTAGTGGTGTTTTCATTTAGCAAATACTTAAGTGAAGCTCTTTTGGCATGTTTTCAGTTCGTACTATTACACATACAGTCAGCCTGGAAGGGTTGTGGGAGGGTTTGGTCCTCTTGTGTTACCAGTTACCTGCTTAATCTCATGTTGCTTTACAGATAGATGTTTTACAATATGGCACCTACCCTCCATACTTCCTAAGGGTTATTTGAAGAATTAATGAGATTAACTTACTTATTCTATTGTTAATTAACTGTTTACCATTGAACTTGCAGAGACCCTATGAAATTCATGCTAATACAGGCCTGTCTGAAGTGCGTCAGATTTTTGCCTCTGAATCGGTTCACTACCCCACAACTTGGTCAAGAGATATGATACATGTACTTCATAGAGTAAGTTACCTTAATTTCATTTGTCCATTGTCACCTGTCATTGTTATCAGTGCAATGAGATGTGAGTTTGTCCTTCGCCTGTATGGAGAAATGAGGAACAACAAAGACAAATAATGACTGTAACCAATCATGAGTGGAGTGAGGGGGGGCATCACTAAACTTACTTCCATTTTACTATGTCCAAGTGTTTTTCATGCCACAAAATGTAGTTTGCTCTTGTTCCGCAGATCTGCAAGTCTCATTAAAAGCAGTCTACATCTTAAGACAGTAGTGTTAAGGTTGTTGTGGTAAATGTTATGAGTAATATTACCCCTGGTAGAATTTAGTAGTTTCCTTTGCTTCATGTACATTGCTATATATTACCATACACTGGAACAAGGGAAAATACCAAATCGTACCAAGGGTTAAACTGAACCACAACATAAACTTGCGTTCTCTAGCAGCCATAGAACAGTCATGCAATATTGTAAGGGTAAACTTTAAATTCCTGGCCACTACAAGAAATCCTATAATTCCAATAACCTTGTGCACCTTCTGAGTTATTACTCTCGATAATGTAAAGTTTTACTATTGTTTGCAGCTTCTTCAACAAGATCCCAAGAAAAGACTAGACAGTTTAGAAGCCTTAAAACAAGAAAGCCTCATGGCAGATGTTGACTGGGAATCTGTTGAAGCTGTTAATGTACAACCTGGTTTTGTTCCTCCTGTAAGTTAAAGTTCTAACAGTTTGTCAGAAGGATCGTTGTACAGTATCTGTGGGCTGGGAGTTTTATACCACCAATGCTGTACATCTAAGCATCCGTATTTAATGTATTTTAAAAAAATTGCACTTGAGTCATTTTATGCAATGGCGTTTATTACAGTTGAGCCTGCAGTCCAATATTCTTTTGTTTAAAAAGGCATACAATCGAGGCGGACAGGTCAATACAAAGCAGAATTGACCCTTTCACCTCATTTGTATGTCAAACTGCTAAAAACTGTAATAACAGCTATTGGTTTAGATCTCAACTTTTTGCATGTCTCAGCAAGTTTAGAATTCTGCTTGCCACTGATAAACCATGATATTTTGCTCAACCTCGTCCAATAATTTTAACTATATTATAATTGTAAATTTATTAGAAAGACCACTTGAACTGTGATCCCACTTATGAGCTTGAGGAAATGATCATTGAAGCTAAACCACTCCACAAGAAGAAGAAGAGACTTAAAAAATTGTCAAGTAGGATTGTAAGTAGAAATAAGAGTGTTTCTTGATATATTGTGAAGAGATTGTGACCACCAACTTCAAAATTTGAGGTGGCCAACATTTGAGTTACCATGCTTGAATCTTTCAATTTTTAAGCTGCAATATATTATTAATTGAATGTACTGTTGTAGTCCAAGCTAAATATCCTGGGCAGAAGGTGGTCTACTTTTTCTCAGCTTGCTAATTGAGTCTCCTGCTAGTATGTAGCAAAAACCCTGAGCATGTGTTTATCAAATGGCAAAATTAATTAATTAATTTTTTTTTTAATTTACTTAATTTATCCACTTTCAGTTTGTAAAACCTTATGTTATAAGAATTTTAGATGACCTGTATTTATTTATCATGTATATACGTTGAACACAGTTTTCATTTTTTTACTATTTAATTTATTATGTATGACCTCATAAGCTACTAAGCTTTAATCTTTTATCATGCTTAAATAAACGTTGTCTGTCTGTCTGTCTTTCCCAGTATATTGATTTAAATGTTCGGCTGAAAAGTGTTGTTTTGTCTTGTGCTTTCTTGTGCATGTGCTTGTATTGTATTTTAGGCTTGCAACTGAAATGATGAAACATTTTATAAGGGAGAGATGCAATAAATATATGACAAAAATAGGTTATGAATGTACATGTACATGCAATTATAGTCAGTACATTTGAATATTTAGTGACTTCAAGCTTTTTACTTAATATGAAGGAAAGTGAAGAAGAAATGGATCCAGTGCAGTTATGTTTAGAAGAAATAAAGAAAGATTTCAAGATATATAACAGAGAAAAGTAAGTTTGAGGGTATCTTTGATTTTTTAGACACCATTCCTAGAAAGTGCTCCCTTTCCTAGCTGTATTTAAAGTCAAAAACAATATTTGTTTCTTATTTTTGTTAAGCTGTAAAATGTAAAATGTAAATCTTATTTACAATGGTCATGCACTTAGCTATTCAAGCACTAAGCTTAGCTAGTTTACAGGCAATTTTTACTGCTAAATGAATATTAGACAAATAACCTTTCAAAACATTATTGGTTTGGGAAAAGAAAAGCATTTTGAGGTGCGCAATTATATTGTTATCTTTGTTACTTATTTTGACATTGATCAGAAAAAAATTACCTTGGCTGGTGAATTCTTCCTCTGGGAATATTGGCCAATCACTAATTTATGTGAAATGTTTCATGTAGATTAAATGTTATTTTTTGTTAGGTTGCTCTCAAACAGAAGACCAACAAAATCCAGTTCAAGCCTGACTGAAAACAATGAAACCAAAACATCTGAATTATCAAAAACAGAAGTAAAGCAGTCATGATATTGGTGTGTAGCGGACCCTCGTGTACAGCATTAAGGGCACGGAAGACTCATTTGTGCCTAGCCCATGGGAACCCAATTTCTCCTCCTCAATTCAGCGTACAGCATCAGTAATTGTGGTTCAATAGTTATGTCATTCCACTATTTGGCATAATTTATCTTTCAATCGATGCTCCAAGTTCCGGTGGTGTTTGAATATGAAACCATCCTCAATAGGTTGAAAATTTAAAATTTACCCTTCAGATGATACTTGAGTCCTTAATTGACCCATCCTCTGTTGACAGCAAACAGTACACTGTTGAATCTTTTGTAACCTGTGCCATAATTTGATAGTCAATAGTGAAACAAAACTTTTCCAATCAAGACAAATTAGATTCTCTAACTCTTGATACTAAAATTTTATGAGACCACCAGATCTCACTATGACTGAATACATTTTACAAGACAAAATAAAATTAATGAAAACTCTGGATACAAAAGTAACATACAAACCACAACAACTAGCTTAGTTGTGGTGTGAATAAATTAGTGTATTCATGAATACACTGATAATATTTTTAATATTCCTCTAAAGAACTTGCTCCATGTAATTGTTGGTGAATGAGATATAACTTTGACTGAAGAAGTTCAAGTACACTTAGGAAATAGCATGGACAGTTTTGAAGTCGTCACAGCAGTGCTCTACCTAAAATAACCTCACTGTTGACTAGTAACCCTAGGGATTGTCCATGGGTACCCCTTCCTTTGACTGTGTTAAGGGAAAGGGGGGATCTCATGCCACTTGTCAAAGTTTTAAACTGGTTCATGTTTACTTCCTCTTTTGTCATGTTCTTGTCTTCCTCTAAGCAGTAAAATCTGATCAAATCAATATTAATATAAATATTTGTACAAAATTTCTGTGGATTCTGGTTATTGTTGTAGAAATTAACATAATCATTATGACTCTCACAGTGGTTAAAATTTGTTCATAGCTATTTAATGTGATTTGGCTAGGCTCTACAACACCCCTTCCATCTGTCATGTTTAGAAATTATTTTATCAAGTGAGTTTAGTGAGTTACAAGCCTTAGCTTGTAAGTTGCAAGTACAATTATAATATTTTCACATAGGTGTTTGTGAGTGAATCCCACAGAAAGTAATATTAACACTTTTTTGTTAGTTATTATGTGTCTTTTTTATTCAGTAGTAGTGAAATTCTTACATTTAGTAGATCTTTAATTTACATGGATTAAAGGCTGAAAATCAGCAAAAACAATACAAACTTTTTACCTTTAAAAAGTGATAATGGTCAGAGTATTTATGATTTAAAGAATAGTTATGCAATTCAGAGGGAAAATCTAAATCAGTCTAATATTAGAACTTTTTTCCAAAGTAGCGCAAATCATTTTCATAACCCTCCTTTGCAAGCTAATTCAGTTTTCTCTAGAGATGTTAAAATAGAAATAATCTGTTAAACTGGGTTAATGTAATTAATTATTTATAAATGTTTGCAATGCTGACTGCATACTGTACAGATATTTTGACTGTGATATCATTCATTATTCATCTGTAGCGTCATGTCATAGTCACCGTGTGCCACATTTGCCAACCTGAATATTATTCTCCTTTGTTCAACCTATTGTACAGTCCAAGTAGCATTCTAAAATGTTACTTAACACTTTCTCTGTAGGTTGAGTCTTTGAAGGTTTCAAAGCTGTTTTAATTATTATTTTTTTGTAAGATTCCTTTTGCCAAATAAAGTTCTTTTATATCATAATTTTATCTTTTTTGTTTTGCCATTATGTTAAAGTTTGTTAGCTTGTAAAATGCTAGAATGTTGTTACTGCAGATCTCATAATCCAAATGAAAATGCAGGGGAAAGATCACAAGTTGTCTGAGTTACATGTACAATGAAATCTGAAGTAGTAAAGAACAACTGGAATACCAACACAACTTATGAATTCTGATTGGTAGCAGCAAGATAAGTCATCTTGAAATATTTCTAATATTTGAAGGTTTACGGTTTTCACAGGAACTCCAGACTTATAATTTACTTATATTTGACCTTTTTATGAAAGAGCCAAGTCTACTGGGCAGGACTTGATGTCTTGATTTAAATCCATATTCTTCCTTGCAGTAGAATAGTTTTCAATTGAGTGTGGGAAATAGTCAGGCAATTACTTTGGTTTTGGTTTTATGATACTCATTTGAAAACTGCTCTATAATGAATATGTGATAAGCTCAGGACAATTTAGTGTCCAAGCCTGTGACATTACTATTAATAATCCATAGTTTCTATGTTAGAGATTTCAGTTAGATGACATGAAATTTCAGACCAAGCTTATTTCATACTTATCTTTCATTTTATGTACATAATTTAAAGAAGAGATTGATAGAGAGTAGTTATGAAAGATTATAATAAAAGATATTCAAAGTGGTATAATTTTGTGTGACGAACATAACAGAATGAGACTGAATGACAAAAAAATTAAATAAATAAAGACTACTAAACAATTTATCTTGCCTATTATTTTTAAAAATAGTGGTTATATTAAGTTTAATATTTAGGCCAAGTCAGCAGTTGCCTGAAATACCAAAAATTCTTTGCAATAATTCTGATTAACGTTTTGAGTGAAATTGTTCAAAATTGTCCTTGTCAAGTCATTATGTAATAGAACTGTTTTTCTACAGTGCACAAGATACATGTAATCATTCCGTTTCTCCCAATTTTGTTTAGTTTTATCTTGGGACTTATGTTACAAAATAATGAATGCATGGTGATATATGAAGAAGCTAGTCATAAAAGGGGATAAGTGACGATTTTGGTTGCTTTTCTTTTTTCTTGCTCCAAAT